AAAGGGTAAAATCATTGGAGAAGGAGATGGAGAAGGTGGACTTACAGTAGTAGGGTATCTAGTAATTTAAGCTGTTTACAATGCATTTTGCAGTTAACTGCATGTCTGTTTCAGTTATCATCATCATCATCATCATCATCATCATCATCACCCGGTTCGTCCTTTTGTGCATCACTTATCATTTCCGTGAGTGGGTTCCATCCTGTTCTGTTTTTTCAAGATAATAGATGCAATTATCTCTGGTCACATTTGGCCTTTCTTATAAACATTATTTTTGTGGTTTTTTGACATCATTTCCTTAATCCACGTGGTTCTTATTTAATGACCTGTTTGGCTGTGGAAAGGGTTTCTATTCTAAGAATTTTTGAATCATGATTGTGTTATCAGAGTGGGGAAGCTTGCCCAACGCGAGAGACAGTCCTCCTTTCTCGACCCGGCTTGGGAGCGGCAATGGCGGTGATGTTCTTTGTTTTTGGTTTTAAGGTTTGTTATTTAACACAGCTAGTGATCTATAGGGAATATGTAATAATATGTGGTGTAAAACTGTGTTACCAATATCGTAGTGTGTTTAAAACATTCAGATAACTGGGACACAACGAGAAAATGCAAATTTTAATTAATGTTTTTTGATGACTGCCAGTGCCAGACTTGAACATTTCCAAAGACTACCCTACGTACAATTACCATTTGTAAAATGAGATGTCTATGAAAATCCGTCAACTTAAGACAAAGTAAGAAATAATATTGCCAGACACACTATAAGGACATCACCTTGCAAGAAATTCATTGTAAGAATGCAGACAGAGCAGTTACCAACACAGGCGCCACAAATGAACCTGATGTGAAAGCAACTGATTGATAACGTTGAAGAGCTTATGCATCGACACTGAGTGACAATAACCATCGCTGAAGCACTGGATCGCAAACTGTTTCCTCCCCACACCACTTAACAGCGAAAGGGGAAATTAATGATGATGATGATTACTGTAAAGTGACTGCTGAGGAAAAGTTATAACGCTTGTTCTACAATAATAGTCGTAATTACCGCCAAGAAACACCATCCCATGCAGACTCTTGATAAAGCGACGAAGCCAATAATGAAGCACTTGTGCCAGTCTAGTGCCACTTGTTTCCTTGATTAAATCTTCTAGATTTCTCATGTTGGTATAGAACCACAGCTGTGCTTCTCTAGTTCATCTCTTGGGCATCTTGTAAGATTATAGAGAAAACACATATAAATCACTTATGGCATTCACTAGCAAGATTCAAGGAAAACAAAAGCGTTGGAGAAAAAAAAAAAAAAAAAGCGCGGGCACGAAATTTAGCAGAAATGGATGCAAAGGTTTCACACCGGTGACCATTTCTTTCCACTATTCTAGAAGACCTTGACATTGTTGACGACAAAGTGCTTTAAAGTTCATCGCACCCTGATATCCAAGAGAAAACAAACCATCTTTAGAAAATTTCAGGACCAATTGGTCTCCAAATTGACAACAAAATCAAAAACTAATGACCTTACCAATAGTTCTGACGACATCAAAGTAAGCAATCACATTCTTATGTATTCATTTTTTTAAAGCACCGCTGAAACTACATCGGACATGCACTCAGAATGGATAAGACAAGACTCCCACATCAAACTCTCTTGTGGGCGCCGTCAAGGAAAAGGAAATGGGAAAGACCTAGAGAGATTATGTCATCATCAGGGAAGGCCCAACATGGGCCTTAAAAAGATCCAAGACCTACAACAGGTGGCAGTGAACCGCGCAGACATGGAGAGCTATAACATCTGCCCTATGCGCCTCTCTAGGCTCAAGAGAAAAACTAACTTACCGTTTTTTGTTTTTTTTAAGAAACAATTTAATTGAGGGTTATGTGGACCGGAGGACACGTACACTAAAGAAACACATACACTGAGGGAAACGTACACTAAAGGTACACGTGGACTGAAAGAGCCCGTAGCACGTACACTAAAAAACACGTGGACTGAAGGTGCACGTACACTAAAGGAACACGTACAACTAAAGGAACACGTACACTGAAGGAACACGTACACTGAAGGAACACGTACACGGAAGGAACACGTGGACTGAAAGAGCACTTACACTGAAAGAGCATGTGTACTAAAGAAACAATTCACTAAAGGACATGTGTACCGAAAGAACATATTTACTATAAAAAAAAAAAGCATATGTACTAAAGAAACAGGTGTAGAAACAGATAGAGGAACAGTGAAGGAACATGTACACCGGTTAGAGGTAGAGAGTTGTGAGGCACACTCACACACATTTGTATTTAGCCCCTCACCCGCTTCTCCCACCCTCACCCCAAACTTTTACGGACGCTAAGCAGTCCACTGTATCCATAAAAAGACCACTGTGCTGGCTAAATTAGTGGATAACAACACATGGGAGTAAAGAATGATGTAGCACGTTTATGACGCCTTCTAGACCCAGATAGGAGACATTGTAACCAGACCTCATGAGTAGAAGCTAAGTTA